GTCCTAAATACGATTAAACACACGTCCTGGATTCCACTACTAGTCGCTATCTATCTTTGCTTAAGTAAACTATACATTTATTAGTAGAGTTATTATATATAGGTTTTCAAATTTTATGAGTGGAACGATAGAATATAAGTGCTTTTTTATTCATATACTTGATAGTTTGAGTCCATCATATTATTAGATGAAGTCGCCAGTCCTCTTAGAATTGTACTAGTAAAGGTAATTTATTCTAGGCCACCAATTATTGTAACTACTCTAAGTACTTCAAAAAAAAACGGAAATGAATAATTATGTGGGTATATTATTTTACACTTGAATTAAAAGGGTTTAAATTTATCCACATTCAAGAAAACAAATCTACGTACAAGATTCTTTACATGTTGGAGACTTAAGTGAAGTTAATGTACAATATTCTCACTAATACAATTATCAGAAGGGAATTTTTTGGGTATCATAGTAATTTCAGTAGTTGAGATCATGAGTCAATTGAAGCTAAACCACCATGGAAACCTGTAAGCACTCGGAGGCCAACTCGTTCTATTGTGGGACTCCTCAGCAATGTGCATCCACCATCCCGCCCCTCGCGAGATTCGAAACCAGGACCTATCTGTCTTGCGCGCGAGCGCTTAACCACTAGACCACTGAGCCGGACGGAATCCAACGGTGTTAATATCTAACTTCAAGTAATCTACGAAACTGAGAGACATATCCACCACTGTCATTAGTGAGTTACTATTTCACAACAGACCCGGTTGAACTCTACTGGTTACTGCTTCTCATTAGAAATAATAAAATGATTAATATAAATTTGTAAATATTGTAGCAATCTGTTGCTACTTAAAACCGAAATAAGTAGGCAAATGTAATTTTTAATATTTTTGTGTTCGCTAGCAGAAAATTGTCTGATAATTAGTAAATATGCAAGAAATTACTGAAATTCTGTTAGGCTGATGAATACGAATATGACTGGTAAGGCCCAAATAAATTCATTCTATCTGAATTAATGGTCTAGATGTCGAAACGAGTATATCTCCATGACTATCGGAAGCTCCTCAAGTTTGTTATTAACGTGTAAAATCACTAGTCCTACCACGAGAAAGTTCCTCACAGTGACTGTTAACGGATACCTATCTCTGTTGTAGCTAGATATAACTCTGAACACTATCATTAAATCATAAAAGCTTTGGAAAGTAATGATAAAACCTAAAATTGAGAAAAAAGTTCGAGCAGCTCCCACTGAATGAGGAGGTTATCACCAACTCTTAGGGAAATGGTAGTGCATCATGCTCTTCCAAGTTTTCGCGTTCACAGGAGTGTTATGTAACATAAGGTGATCTTAATTTACTCGGACTTGATTGGTTTCATTTGTCTGATGTTCCATTAAATATTGTGTCTGTCTTGTAAAACAGCCTTGTGAATCCAGCGATCGTCCAACTGTCGAGAAAGAAACAGTCATAGCTGAGATTTGTCCAGTGGTGATGGAAAATATTCATAAAGCATTGCTTGGTGACACTAACAGAGCAGGAACACTATAGTTACAAATACACATCACCTTTCTGATTCTGACTGATGAATTTTCAAAATAATCATAAACCTTCATCGTGTCTCCACCAAAAACAAAGCCTCCCAGATACTGATGGTGAATTTCTTTCGAAACGGAGTACTAGACACTGTAGTGTCAGATAAAAGATCGAAAATTTTCCTCTAGAGATTTTTAAAAAAGTTTTGTTACTGACAATTCATAACATACACCTCTTTACCACCATGGCATCCTTAATCGGATGGATAAACTAAATGGTTTGTGGACACCTTCAAAAGAACATTATTAAGATTAAAAGGGGAGGGGATGGCCATCGATATATTGCACAATGTTTTATTAGTGTATAAAGGTACACCAAATAACGTACTACCATATCAGAAATCGCCAGACGAATCTTTCATGGGTCACAGATTGAGAGCAGCTCACCATTTGATGCTAAAAAAGACCCACACGTGAAGAATGGTATCGGTATGTTCGATTGAGATTAAAAATTGACGACAGCAGTGGATGGTTCATTTTCAAACAAACCCAAGGGAATTACGTTATTAAAGTGGAAAGTAATCAGTGATGTGTAATCTCTAAATACAACTGATGAGAAAGGAAACCAATAACGATTAAGATGAATTTCTATTACATTAAATGATTCAGAATGAATTCTGCTTATGAGCTTTCAATGGATTTTTATTATTGTTTATTGACAAATATTCAGCTCATGAATTCTAATTCTTGTAATGTAATATATAGTCGATTAAATTAAATATATTTTTCACAGTGGTTGATATATTAGGGTTATTATCAGGAAATTTTCAGGTGTTAAACTAGTCTTTTTACACTAGTTAGTGGAGCAGGAAAGGAAGGAAAAGAAATAGTCTCGTCTACTGTATTGAAATGGGAATAGTGAATATTTTTGGATAGGCCACGTACACATCACCTTTCGAATTAGCTGGTTTCTTCCTTCATACTGATTTGTTTGGAATCGATACATAGGGGAATTGAATCTAACAATTGTGAAATTCGTTGTTCTGCTTTTAGGACGACCATGTATAGTTACATATTCCGAGAAGTGCAGCATATATGTGGTTGCACATTCATGTGTAACATTTCTTTTCTGTACGCCTGAAATCGTGTCTATATATATGAGAAAAACAGACCCGACATTATGTGATGGACCATGACATTAACTATATTGTACTCGCTAGAGTAGCTCGAGTGTTTTCAGTTTTTAGGTAAGCCTTATTGACAAGTTTAAACAAACGCAAATAGCCTGGTAAGACGTACTACTAAATGTCAATGACAGTTTCATCTCACTATGCTAATGGGGTGTGGCAAATTGAACCGATGTATATACGTACCAGGTTCTACGTTGTGACTGATTGATGTATTTTAAGTTAAGGAAAGAGTGAATCTGCGCCATTGTGAACGACTCAGAACCATGTCATCCAACGTCTTCAACCATTTATTTTGGTAATCACACAGATCCCAACGAGGTAATCTGCATCTAACTACACAACTCAGTTCGTTATTTAATGAACGGATGTTATGTCTTAGTGTAGTTGCTCATAGTTTTCTTTGAACCTACTCTTACACCAGTAAAAATCGGCCGTCAGGGTAGGTGGTGATTGGGTATTCATAATACATGTCCAAACTACAATTAATGAAAATTCATCACATAATCAACCGAATTGTCACCCTTACTTAGTGCTCTGCTTCTAATCACATAATTACTTACTCGATGGCCCCAGCATACGCGACCAATGTTTCAAAGTCACCTATGGTTAAATACCAATAGCTTGTAAATATCCTTAATGTTTAAAGTGTAGGTTTCACAGGCATAAAGAAAAACGACGTAAACTGTTGCGTATTATGACTGGTCGATAATTGTTATGTCGGAATCGCTTATTACTTATACTCGTAAAACAAGAAACCATTGTAATTCCTACAACATGAAGTAAGAACACATTTATTTATAAACTGATTGTACACCCATTTTGACTATTAATTAGGATGAAATCACATACTGCGTATCATGCTGACCATAGTCCATCTTAATTTAATATAAGAACATCGCATCTTGAATAAACACATCAAATTCAAATCGATTAATGCAATACCGAATATAATATGACACTAGAAAACAAAACAAATATTCTTTTGAATAATCATTATATTGAATTAAACAAACGGAAGTAATCTTAATCAAATATAATAATGAATCAAAATTTGATTTCGCCTTTTTATTCCATTATATCTTTCAGCAACATGCCCGTCCTTTGGTTGTCAAGTGTGATAATGAATTTCAATCAAACATTTTGATGTTTTGCTAATTGAACACTAGATTTGGTTCCTAAGCTCTTCTAGTAATCCCCAAGCTAGAACCACACAGTGAATTGAACATGAGAGAAAAGGCGCGAAATATGTAAGAAACATTTTACTCCAAAGGTTCGTTCTGTACAGAAAATCTAGGGTTTTTATAGTATTTTAAATATTCTTGGGTTCCCCGAAAATTATGGAATACTACTAAACATAGTAGCAGTATAAGTAATCATCCAATTAGAAACTCTACATGTGACTTTTCACTTCCTTGATGTTTCTGGTAAAATGTCTTATGAACGCTGATTGGATAAGATGCTTTTCATTGTTTTCAGAGCCTTTCTTAGCTTCTTCGAAAATTTTTCTGAATCTGATTGTTGAATTCATCAGTCAATCTAATCCAGATCACTATAAAAAAAAACCCTGGAAGTACTGGATAACCGTTTTGTCCTAGTATGAGACTCGTCACCAGTGCGCATACATAATCCCATATACAGGAGTCGAATACAAGACCTTTAGTTTCTCATAATAGGACAAAACGGCCATTCAGTACTTCCAAGTTTTCCATGATGACCTCTATTTGTTTATTTAAACACATAAGCATTGGTACAAGGAGGCATCAAATAGATATGCGCCACATAAATCATTCGATTTATGTGAGGGTGCCCAAATCGAAGCGGGTGGTATTCTTAGAGGGCCGCACCCCGAGCCCTTGACCTTAAGGTCTGATCCACAAGGCAGTGGGGCATCGTGAGGCGATGCAGTCCCATGGTAGCCGGTGACCAACAATTGGTTCATACGCCATTTGTTCCCGCAGGATACTGGAGCCCATGTGCACCAATTGGTTTGGAATCCGGTTAAAGCGCCGGACATTCGCTTTTCGTCCTCTCATTTTGGTAAACAACACTCGTGGTACGAGAAGGCAGTGAGTAGGACTTCCTTGGCAGAGGCTGTATACGCGTGGCCGTGTGAGAGAATTTCGAGAGGGAAGGTGGGCCCACCCCACTCTCGGCCATACCAGTGCTTTTGGGGGCCTAGCTTAGATTGACTCAATTTCAACTATGAAAATCACTGCGATCTCCACAAACTTTCATTTCGATATTAAACAATTATTCTATCTAATATCAATGAAAAAAATGAGCACAATGTAATAGATCTTTATTTCTTTCAAACAAAACGATAGAAACGAATACAGTGATATGTAACAGTTAATTCATAGAAAAAAGAAGAAATGATACACAGCCAGAAAAGAACAAAAGAAATGCAAAAAAAACATCAAATGTATACACCATAAACAAATAAGTAAACGAGAAAAAACAAATAAAATGGAACAAATTACAAAACAAAAGGAAAAAAAACGGAACAATCATGAAGACACTTACGATATAAGAGATTCATGATGTCGATGATCATGATGTAATATATAGATGGTAAAGGATACTAAAGAAATAAAATTAATTGAATTAGTCACAGCCATTTCAAATTTATATTATTAAATATGAAGAAAAAGAAAATCCCATAGAAACAATGAAATGCCACAAAAAAAAGAAATTGTAGAGAAAAAAAGAAAAGAAAACTATGAAGAGAATAATTTTCTTCTTTTCTTTCTTTTTTTTCCTTTTAAAATGTATATAATGTTTTACTATTTAATGAACGATAATCTCCTGAAGTAATCATATCATAACCATTCCAACCAGTTAAAAAAACACAACTAGGCCATTGATTTGGTAATAATAATAATTGTATATTATAATTTAATTGTTTTAATTTATTGATAAAATTTGATGGATGATTTAATTTATATTCCATAGTAATACTACCTGGTATAGTAATATTATAATTAGGATGTATTCGAGTTAATTGAATAGAATAAGTTGAATTAATACAATTTTTTTCAATAGCTGGATTAAATCTACTATGACTACCACCAATGATTGATATCATAGAAGTTTGTTCTTTAATATTATTAATTGTAGAAATAGAAGTAAATTGTCGTAATGTAATAGGTGTATAACATTGTGAACCACGTAAAAATAATGCTGCATTACTTATTACCTGTGTGTGTGTGTGTGTGTGTGAAATGTAATGCAAGAAAGAATAAGAAATAGATGTATATAAATAAATTTAGTAAAATGTAAAAGATAATTTATTATAATCTAAATGGAGAGTAAATGATTAGTAATATTTGAGCTATTCAATCATTGAGTTCCGGTCTTGAATACTACTCATTATCTACGATTTCAATAATCAAGTTGTATTTAGTTATTTGAATACATAAACATTGGTACAAATAGGTACCAAATAAATATGCGCCATACAAGTCATTTGATTTGTGTGAGGGCTAGGATAGTGCCCGGGTGCCCAAATCGAAGCAGGTGGTTTTCTTAGGGGAGGAATGACATGGCTCAAAATCGTTTGCAATGGCGCAGGTGCATCCACTCTTTGTGTTCTCCCAAATTCTAATCTTCTGAATTTTTCATGTCCCTTTTTTCCTCTTTCCAAATTTATTTCACTGAATTATACTCTTTAAATAACATCTCCAAATCCTAATCTTCCCGATTATTGCTTATACTCTTACTACCTCTACCACTACGGGATTTGGATCGACAACAGCATCTCTGTGTTAAGGTGGTGTGGCAACTCGAACTGATGTACGTACGTACGAAGTTCTACGTTGTTACTGACTGACTGACTGACTTAGGGGAGGGGCAAATTCAGAGCCTTTGACCTGAAGGTCTGATTCACAAGATAGTGGAGCAACGTCACATGATGCAGTCCCATGATAGCCGATGATCAACAATAGGTTCGTAAGCCATTTGTTCTCTCAGGATACTGGAGCCTATAAGCATCATTGGTTTCGAATCAGGGTTTTCCAACTCCCCTCGATGAATCCTTCATACCCACCAACCCGGTTAAGGCACTCAAAATTCGCTTTTCATCTTCTCAATTTCATAAACATCTCCGCAACGAGAAAACAGTGAATAAGACCTCCCTGGTAGTGGTTATATGAGAGCGTTTCGAGAGGGAGAGCTGACTCTCCTCATACCTCCAACAGCACTCAAGACCACTGACTGACTTAAACTGTCATGACTACATTTATCAGTGAAAAATTCCACCATACAATCATAATGTACAATTACTGACAATAGTACACTTGTGGTGTGAGCTACTTATATTGACATAAGTAGTATATAACGTGCGTTAAAAGAACGTAATGTCCGGCAGCAAAAGATGGCGAAGACTAAGAAAGGTGGAGCGAGAACATAATGGAATTTGTAAGAAAACCTATGAACAATGGAATGGGAGACAATAGATTGGTGTTTGCAACAGAAACAATTCAGTTTGGTTTGATGCGTGAATATTTTGCAAATTGACGATTTAATATATGGTATTCAGATTTTGTTGAGATAGACTGTAATTGTTGTGCTAAATACATTCGATTGTCCCCACCTGTGTTCTTGTTCACTACATTTGGTGTCGCTGCCAACCGGGAGAGGAGGAGGGTGCTGTTCTGCGGACGCCGTTGCGGGCCTGGAGTTGAGGTGCCAGTTGGAGCAGTCTGGTGCGGAGAGGTGGCGTCTGGTGGAGTGTTCTGGCGGGGCGGCGTTGGCTGTAGCAGGTGCTGTTGACGGAGAGGAGCGGTGGGACGCGCGGCTGCTGGGCGGACATCGGATGTAGATGGCTCAGCAGGCCGGTGGAGTACGGGTGTCAAGCGTCCCAGGTGCCGGGTGGATGTAGGTTGTTGTTGCCCCGGCAGGTCGACTGAGCTATGGAAGTCAGCGCGCCGCAGACTCGACATTTTGACGGAGAGCGTGGCACAGACTGCAGAGACGGAGAATGTTGCACGGCGAGCATGAACCACCACATGGACGACTGTTTTAAAGGGGGGGACGAGTGTGGTGTGAGCTACTTATATTGACATAAGTAGTATATAACGTGCGTTAAAAGAACGTAATGTCCGGCAGCAAAAGATGGCGAAGACTAAGAAAGGTGGAGGGAGAACATAATGGAATTTGTAAGAAACCAAAGATCAATGGAATGGGAGACAATGGATTGGTGTTGGCAACACAAACAATCCAGTTTGATTTGATGCATGAATATTTTGCAAATTGACGATTTAATATATGGTATTCAGATATTGATGAGATAGACTGTACTTATTGTGTTAAATGCATCCGTTTTCCCCACTCGTGTCCTTGTTCACTACACACTTATTAGTTCTATAATATTGTACATAACGTTCCCATTGAGTTGAAAGTGAATTTTTTTCTTAGATTTTAACCACCAGGATAAGAGTTACCTTATTAATTAAACAGTCAGTGAGACTACAATTTATGGACGACCTTTGAGCGATGCCAAAGTGACCTTGAGAGTGCCTACCTACTTACTAGGGTTAAATGAAGCTCATAAAGCAGTTTGAAGAATAAGGATTGTGATTCACAGTTGATGGTTAGGCGTTAGGATTTAGGTTTACAGTTTTTTTTTAACCACGAGTTGACATCAGCTAAAATGCCAAGACACTAGTTGACCAAATGTGTGAGTGAGTTTCGCGCCAAAATCCAAGGCCTGTTATCGTAAATCTGATTGATTCGTCCATAAATTATATTCTCGCCATTTTGTACCCAGAGGTTAGCTTTGAAATGATGAATGGCTTTAGCTTCAGTTGTGAATGAATTTTTTTTTAATACAAACTTTCTTTGACCCAGTTCTTTGTAGATGATGATTCTCGTAGTGGTATATGGACAAGAATTAACTATATGTTCACTTCTCTATTTTACTACAGACTATTAAATGTAGGAAAAATTGCCTATAAATACGATTTTACAGTAGAGGAAAATGATATCGTCAAAGAGAAAATTTGTTTTATTCATTTTAATTAATTATAACTTGAAAAAAAAGTTCATTTAACTAACTTGTGCTGCATCTGTAAGACCCCATAATCCATCAAATGAAACAATACCTGCACGTATACCACATTTTCTATGTGTAGCTGATAAATAAATTGGTCCAAGTGGAATAAGAGGACGACGTCCAGGAGCAAATTTATTCAATTTTATTTCTGAGAATAATTGTAACACTGAATTCAAGTGTACACCTGTACCAGGTACAATTTGTCCATTACCAAATGGTGAACCCATGAATATATTACCAACAACAGTAAAACTAGTTGAATCAGTTATTACAATACCTGTGCTACCGATACTGGCACCTTCCTGATAGTAGGGCAGAGATTTATTAAAAAATGTAATAAGCAAAATAATTGTTATGCTCAATATTCCAATGGAAAAGATCAACTTGAAATTTCTTCAAAATATTGATTAAATTAAATGTCTGTTAAATTATAGTTTGGGGATATATCTTTAATATCTAGTTCAAAGTAAGTAGTTGTTTTAAGTGACCAGACCAATCCTGAATTGTACTTCATTTCTAACTGGTCATCTTAGCGAGATTTTATATTGTCATTCATTTCATTAGAATATTGCTCCCAAATGCCTTGGTACGGTCGACAGTGAGAAGAGTCAGCTCTCCCTCTCCAAATACTCTCACATGACCACGTTCATACAACCACTGCCAGGGAAGTTCTACTCACTGCCTTCTTGCACCACGGGTGTTGTTTATGAAATTGATAGGACAGAAAGAGAATGTTAGGTGTTTTAACCGGGTTGGTGGATATGAAGGATCTATAGAGGGAAGTTGGAAAACCTTGATTGGGAACCAATGGTCCACATGGGCTTCAGTATCCTGATGGAACAACAGGCGTATGAACCAATAATTGGTTACCAACTACCATGGGACTGCTTCATGTGACGTTGCTCCACTGCCTTGTGGATTAGATCTTTAGACCAAAGGTTCGGGGCGTGGCCCCCTCAGAAAACCACCTGCTTCGATTTGAGCACCTGGGCAGTATCTCAGCCCTCACATAAATCGAATGATTTATGTGGCGCATATCTATTTGGTGCCTTCTTGTACCAATGTTTATGTGTTTAAATAATGATAATAATAACATTAGGATATTAAAACCATTATGACAATTGATTTGCAATTAGTACTCTTCAAGTTTTCTTTTTAAATAAGATTTTACACTTACTGATTCCGTTTAAACTTTAGGTACTAAATTCTGCTGTTTACTTTAGTAGAGAATGAGATATTTAACACTCCTCTGTTTAAAAATGACTACAAATACTTGAATTTATCTACATTCAGTGAAAAACTAGAAATTATTTTGAGCACATGTGTTAGCGGGACATAGATTGGATTAAAGGAAGTTCCATACCATGACTGTGTTGGTGCAAGCTGATTGGTTATTTCTTATTCAATCAGAGCTAGTGGATACTTGGCGAATACTCTAGAATCTTCTCATGTACAAACTATAAATATACTAAGGTTTCTCTTATTTCTATCTAACCTTTTTATTTGGAATATGATTTTGTTCATGTTTAACCGTGTTCTGATTTGGAGACTTGTTGAGTGAATTATTCACTATTATTAAAATGCGCCTATTTCATAATAATCTTAAGAGAAGAAGAAAATAACTATAGATAGAATAACTGAAATCAATTCACTATATTTAGTGAATCAGTTTAAACTTGAATCTTATCAATTATTCATTTATTTTTATTCATTTGAACACATAGATACTGGTACAAGGAGACACCAGATACATATACACTATACAAATCTCATTTGATTTGTGAAAGAGCTGTGATACTGCCCGGGTGCTCAAATCGAAGCAGGTGGTATTTTTAGAGGGCCACACCCCGAACCTTTGACCTAGGGGTCTAGTTCACAGGGAAGTGGAGCAATGTCACATGATGCGGTCCCATGATAGCCGGTGACCACTAATTGGTTCATACGCCCATGTGAACCGCTGGTTTCGAATCAGGGTTTTCCAACTCCCCTAAGTAGAGTCTCCATGTCCACTAATCCGGTTAAAGCACCGGACGTTCTCTTTTCGTTCTCTCAATTCCGTAAACAACACCCCCGCCACGAGAAGGCAGTGAGCAGTAATATATGTTATGTAATGAAAAGATTTGAAAATTTCTTGAAAGCACTTTATACAACAATGAGTTGTGAAAAGGGTCAGATCATTCAATTTGTTATTAGACCTATTTGACAACATGATATATAAGTAGTCTAGTTCAATAGAACGTGTATTTTTAAACAAGTTGTACAATCATACTTTCTTAAATGTCAGATATCTGGAATAGTATGTACACAACAGTCGATAAAACAGTAAAAATCTATTTATTATTTCAAATCTTAGAATGTATTCCTATGTTAATATGTCTTTATCATGAGATGAAATCTAATTGTTTATCATACATTTGATTGAATAAGATGTCAGTACTGTAGCAGTGTGAATGTTAGATTTCGATCTCACCAGATACGACAATACTTACATATAACCGATAAGTTACAAGTCGAGATGAGGCAAGAATTGTGTATTACGTTGCCAGCGATTATGAACTATTACAAGAAAAACTAGTTAGTATTGTGTTGTACGCTCCTTATGCGGACAGATATAAGTAGTATCTATCAGGCATCAGAAGTAGAATTCTTACTGACAGAAGAGAAAAGAAAACAGAAAGCAATCAAAATAACAATAGGAATGGAATAACATTTTAGTTAGTAAGGGATAACTCAAGGAACATGTTTAAAAAGTGCATAACATAACTGATTTCCCCTGTCCAAGCCTTCGTGCATTACAATATATACATATGAAAGAAAACAAATACAAGAGAAAACAATATTACTAGTTAATAAAAAGAAGATATATTTCTAGTTTAGTTGTCATGGTTTTTGCCTCCGTCAATTATCATGTGACAAAATCACCGATCAGAATACTGACTTACATGATTTTGTTCCTGTGCTAAACAACGTCAACCAGTACTAGTAGTGTTAAATCAACTCTCAATTCTTATTGGTCCTCGATATAGCAGCTTCTCATTTAGCTCTGTCTGTTGAGTCCATAACACAATAATATATTTCAGACATACATGGGTTATATGCAAGCAGACCAGACCACATCATACCATAAAATGAGAAATAATAACTATACAAGATCAAGCTAAAAGTGGTTATGAGTATAGGAAACTATAACCAATAGATTGGGAATAAATTAAGATTAGTAGATCTTATAACAGTAGCTAATAGGTCGAATGAAAGTTTATGGTTAAATGAATATGAATATACAGATAATCTAGTTAATTAATAGTCATCCAATAAGAATATATATAATAACAGTCCATAAACAATCCCTAGCGGTTTATTTATCGTTTATTTTTCGTTCGGATGCAACAATTTATTTATTTATTTATTTGAACATATAAATATTAGTACAAGAGGGCACCAAATATATATGCGCCACACCATATTTGTGTGTGGGCTGTGATACTGCCCGGGTGCCCAAACCGAAGTAATTGGTTTTCTTAGAGGGCCACGCCCCGAGCCTTTGGCCTAAAGGTCTAACCCACAAGGCAGTGGAGCATCGTGAGAAGATACGGCCCCATGGTAGCCGGTGACCAACGATTGGTTCATACACCATTTGTTCCCATAGGATATAGGAACCCATGTTAACCGAAACAACATAAAGCTATGCAAAATCCAATTATGAGAAAACCTATGAATTTTTGTTGTCCAAGTTGTCATTATTATTGTAACATTAAAATACAGAGATGTACAATAATGAGAGATGGAAAAGTACTTGATGCTAGATTACTTACTTATCAGTATTCACGATATTCTATTAATCAGGTTTGCAAATGTATTTTTATGATGCTAATATGTATATAAAGCCGAGAAAATCTATTTGATCCATAATTTGTATCAGCTTGTTTATTCGGTGAGAAATGGTTGATTACATTCTGTATGTGGTAACACCTTATCTTCTTAGAGGTCCGGTTAATCCAAAAGATAGATCTTGATTTGAAGATTTAATGGGAGAGGTCGAAAAATATTGATAAGATCACCTAGCTACAAGTTCTTTGGAAATATGGTAAAGTGATTAGCGAACTAATACGAAAAGTGTATTTACCAGCGATAAAAATGGAGGATGTCTAGCGTCAGGAATTTTAGCGCGAAAAAAACAGAAATTCGAATTTACGAGAAAATAATAAGTAAACGAGTTTAGGGGATTCAAAAATGTCAAGAAGCACCTGAATTGAGAAATACGTATAGAACTAATTCACTGATAACATTTAAAGAAATTTGTCTGCTAATATATTTAACTTACAGAAGTTGTTTGAAGGACGTCTAGTTGTGAATGTTCCTTCACCACACGATCATCTAGAATACTAGCTACAGTGGATTCACGTACAGACTTTGAGAAGATACTGTCCAGAGCAGATGCAGCTGCTACACCTAATTAAAAAGAAACTGTCCATCAATCAAAAAGTTTAATTTTTAAGAGTAATAATTATTCCATTCAATATATGTTTGTAGTGTCGGTTATTATGTTAAGCCCATATACCTTATTCTAACTTTCGGACAGCCGATTCTATTCATTTTACTCGACTGTTTTTATATGAGCATAGGTGGTGTGCGTACATACCTTATCCTATTCATCACATATCTGTAACTTATTTTTGTGTAACTATAATTATTAATTAACGCTTGGTTAAAGGGGTGTTGGCTTATCCGCCATCTCCACTGCGCGTCGTTTTGCTTTGTTCTATTCTATTCGCTTTATGTACAAAATATGTCAGTCAGTCAATCAGTAACAACGTAGAACTTCATACGTATGTACATCAGTTCGAGTTGCCTTACCACATTAGAACAGAGATGCAGTTGTCGACTCAAATTCCAACCTACAAAATACAAAATATATGTATTCAAAAGTTCATTCTCGTTATTTGACTTATTTAATTCCGTTATTCACTGAACGCAGATTAAATCTATAAAGGACATACGAAGATAGGTAGCACATACAATTCAATAACAATCATTCATGAAATCTACTTGGAGTCAGAACTCGGGCCACTAAAGTGGAGAGCCCTTCAACAAACATCGTCCGATCTAAATGACGACAAAATAAATGACCTCATATGTTTAACAAATCACAACAGAATTAGAAATTTCGCAGTAGAATTAACGGTACACATATCCACAATGGACGGTAGTATAAAAAATGAAAACTCTACACATAGCATCTGTTTCTTAGTTTGGAATTACCCATGTATTTTCTGAGAGACATTCATAGTTACTTAAAAGTTTATTACCATTGCTTACCTACGGATAATTGTTTGATAGTTGTCGTAGCCATTAAGTTGTACACTGTACAAATCTACGTCATACATAAAGAAAATTCATCCAATGCTACGTGAAAGTTATAAAGACATGCTAGAGTAATGGTAGTAACAGTAGAATAACAATAATTTGAGGACGACTGAAGTGATGTATGGCACCTGGTGCAAATATGCAGTGGTTCAAGTTGCCAGATCACATATCATCAGCGGTAAAGAAATAACTCAAAAAGGGTAGAAGGCAATAAAAATAGTCAGGACCTCAGCTACAGTTATCTGAAAAAAAATTCAAAATGAGCAATATTTCTAAAAAAACTGCTTGTTAGAGACACACACAAAGGCGGATATATATGTACATGTATATGACTAGAAAATTTTAAAAAAGCTGAGTGACATTGTAGTAGTTACTTGAAACCAAATTGTATTGCTACTGGGTGGTAATTTTATATTATTATACAACAAAAGTGGGTAAATGTATACACTTACTTATTGTAGGATCACTCAGATCTCCAAGTGTAGTAACTGATGCTTCAGCTAAACGAGCCAGTTCCATAAGACGATGCAAGTAGACAGCAGTCACAACTGGATCTTGTTTGAGTAATGCTTTATGATCAAGTGGAGTGAGTGTATCTTTAAGATCTAAATTGCTCAGTAAGAGTAAAATATACGGACCACCAACTAATGGAGGTGGAAATGATTCCAGTGTAAAACCAGCGAAACCCATCTGAATAAAAAAAACATATAGAAATTATTGTAATTTAAAGAAAAGTATACAAGTATACAATTTAATGAATATCGATTATCAATCGAATCGGTAAGGGTATCTGTTTTCATGGGTGCCTTGTGAATTAAAATTGTAGGTTTATAACGTTTCAATATCCAAAACTATTCATCTGGTATTTGCCAAGGTATTTTTCTATTTAGTGAAAGTTACTACCATAAACTCACTTTCATTTAGATGACTACTGAAGTTACTACTTATACACTTATACAACACTGAGGTTCGGATTCAATGGTGTACATTACCGAATTCAAACAAGTAGTGAAATGGTTTTCGGGCTGAAGTCAATCTGTGGTATGAATTACATCGATTCTGGACAATCTCTACATACCACCTTCAATTTAATAGTAATATACACATTAGTAGCCGGCTTTTACAGGGATTCTCGAAATTCTAGTGTCAACCCGTGACTGGTGTAATTTAACCAAAGTGGGAAATGATTCAGATATCATTTTTAGCATTAGAGTGAACGCTGTACAATATCTCGAATTGATTGAAGTTCATAATGTGGACAAAATGGGTTAAGATTCAGTGATCTGTCTGCTGAGACTATTATGATCTAGAATTCTATGTGGTGTGGGATGTCGTAGATAGAGACAGTTAAAACATTCCGAATTACAACGAAACAGCTGTTTAGTTTTTTAAAGCCATGAAAGATTCTTTCCAACTGTGCAAATAATGTAATAAATTCATCCTGCTCTCTCTTAAATAACTAATCTTATGTTTATTCACCAAATGTATTCTCATAAGCTTATGCATAAACAACTGACAATCTCTAAAGTGAAGTTAATCCCTGTAAAATTCAAGCGAAGCTATTACAATGGTCAGGTATACTTTCCTTTTTGTTTACTCGGTTGAAGAAATAAGGCGAGGACTGAAATCGAATGTATGCATTAAATATAAATTATAGCATAAAATGATATTTATAGACCATACAATAATTGACACTCAATTAAGCTTAAGTTATAAATGACATAATAAATATTATCTGTCTTAGAGTTTATCTATTCCGACTTCATCATTTATTTATTTGAACACATAAACATTGGTACAAAGGGGAACCAAATACATAAATCACGTGGTAACTAACCGGGTTTAAAGTTACAACAAAAACAATAATAATAGCAGTAACATACTTTGATTGAATTTGGACGACTAACTGTATAGTTCTTCAAATCTTCTAATGACCATTGAGAATCTTGTTGTTTCATATAATCAACAAATTGTTTATTGAATGTATTCTCATTAGTATTATAAAAGTATTCATCACGTTGATTAGCTAAATGTTGTAATGTATTACGTAAGTCAATCGACGGAGAATATGGAGTATTTTCATCGATTAATTGATTTAAAATTGGTTTTAAAAAGTCTGGTGAATTTAATGTTCTTAATTTATTTGCGGCTTCGATTAAAGATTTACTAGGCTAATAGAATTAAGAGAAAAGGAAAATAATAAGTTAATTACACGGTTAAATAAGTGTTTCTTTCTAGTAGATAATTCACTCCCGATCGTTGTTGCTACCTTGATGTGGTGATCGGAATTGCCCATCGGGATGAACTAATCAAACTATAATGGCTGGAACAATCGTTCCTCAACGTCCTGTCATCCCAGACAGGTCGATTGAAGAACGGTAAGACTAAAAGCAGCAAACCCAACGTCTCAAGGAGAAGTCGTACTGCTCACTGTACAGTGTTGTGACTGCACTAACGTGTCTCCTTCAGACAACTAGCATAGCAGCGATGCTGCATTCCCACAACAAGGGGTGGGGTTAGAAAAGGCATACCCTAAAAATGCACACCTCGCCTTGTTCCACGGATATCCGTCTCCGGTGGTAAGGTCTCAACAAGTATGGAGCTAACACAAAAATTACTCATAAAAAGTTCGTGTGACCGACCCTAAGCAGTTGTCCTTTGAGCACTGCGGTCAAGCTCTCAGGCCACTAAGACAACTTCTAATCGAATTTCCTTTACATGTATCCCCAGAAGAACCCTCCCATGGTGTAGGCGACCGGGAAGTGATAACTGCCCTCATACCTCTAACAGCACTCAAGACCACTGTATTCATAATCAACTCCCACTGACTGAGATAATTCGCTCTTTTACAGAACAAAATGAAAAGTAACAAGAAGTTAAACTGATTGATAAAACTGTAGACTTTTATTGAACGATGCCTACCTCGCTTCAGTATATTTAGTATATAATTAGTGGTGGGATCTGACGTGTGTATTTTCATATTTATTTTATTTAAACACATAAACATTGGTACAAGAAGGCACCAAATAGACATGCGCCATATAAATCACTCAATTTATTTGAGGGCTGGGATACTGTCCAGGTGCCCAAATCGAAGCAGGTGGTTTTCTTAGGAAGCCACACCCGGAGCCTTTGAACTCAAGGTTTAATCTACAAGACAGTGGAGCGACGTCACATGGTGCGGTCCCATGGTTATTGGTAACCAATAATTGGCTCATACGCCTGTTGTTCCATCAGGATACTGAAGCCCATGTGGACCATTGGTTCCCAATCAAGGTTTTCCAACTTTCCTCTATGAATCCTTCATATCCATCAACCCGGTTAAGGCACTCAACATTCTCAATTTCGTAAACAACACCCCTGCCACGAGTAGGCAGTGAGTAAAACTTCCATGGCAGTGGTTGTATGAACGTGGTCATGTGAGAGCATTTGGAGAGGGAGAACTGACTCTTCTCACTGTCGACCGTACCAGGGCATTTGGGGTAGCATTTTCACATAAGCCAATGGTATTCTGGATTCAACCGTTTACTGAATAATTCGTTAGATTTTTGATGAGGAAAGTATTGCGTTCAGTTCTTAGCGCAAACATCGACACTGGGATGCGGAGGTATATTCAACCAGAATGAAATCCACGTTTTGGATTCAGTTGCTAGTTACATATCACGCAATAATACTAACAATTATTCTATACAAAATTATAAGTTTAATACAATAAGGAAATCTCAGTAATCCGCTCAAGATACACGTATTTCGTATAAATTAATCAGCTGAAATTTCGAAAATCAATAAAAAGGGAAATTAAAAACCCTCAGTAAACTACTGATGTGGTTTCGATAAAATTTTAATGTCAGTATAGGGTTGTGGAGATTATTAAGTTTTTTTGGTGAAGATCATGAACTGATCGATGTTCGAGTTGGAATCTCGCAAGCGGGGTCATCGATGCGCACTGCTGAGGAGTCCCACAATAGAACGATTCGGCCTTCCAGTGCTCCCAGGTTTTCCACAGTGGTCTAACATCAATAAGTTTATGACCTCAATCGAAATTTTAATGTTAAAAATAAATATTTCATATAGTTTACAGAAAGATTTAAATGATTTGAATAGTTTCATGAAACAGCTGATTTTATATTTAGACAGATTGATGCCCATTGAACAGTTAGTTCTTCACTGTACTTTTATGTACGTAACGAGCTTTATTATTTGATAGATAAAAAAATAATTCGCAATTACATTTCGCGAAGCAGTTTTATATTTCCATCGTTTAGAAAAATATAAAACATTAGAAGAGCAACCATTATTTATGCTACCTAGAAGACTGTATTCGTTTAACCAAATAAAGCTCGGTAGGTAGGTGTGTAGGGTAGTATGGAAAAATAGTTAGCCAGTTGATAAAATTATGCTTCTTCATTGGCTAAACTAATTGAAGATGTTTACAAAACAATATACCAGCCACTGTCTAAATCAGAGGTGAAACAGTTACTGATATAAGAGTAGGTTTGGTAAAGGCCTGAAGTGACAAACTAAAATATGACACCAACTTATGAGGTCATCAAGTACTAGTTCTGAACCATATCCAGGAGTGTAGACTTGTTATTCGGGAACTATATGATACAAGCTTAGAGTTTTAATATTATTTCATATTCCTTATTCAATCACCACAATCTCTTACTGACAATATTTTTTATCAACAGGGTGATATCACTAGCCCTTATGTCCACAGTACAGGTGAAAATCAAGTATATGAATCTGTTCCTGATACATGAGTTAATAAAATGAGAAAAAATAATTATTAGTCAGTCGGTAATACAGAATATAGGATCTGGCATCAATGTTTATCAGTCCAAGTTGTGAAACATTACAACAAAAGAGGGTGATAGAGAAAATCGACAAAAAGAAGAAGGAAGAATAATAGTGATAATAATATCTATTACAATGAGAAGTTAGGCAAAAGAGATCTAAATTAGAGGGAACGAGTAACTGAAACCAAATAATGAATAGCATGGAATGGGACAAACCTCAATATTTAGAGGAACATAAAGAACAATTGCCAAACAATGTTTCTGGTCACAGATAACCATTATTTTAGGAATCCGAAAGGGGTACCCTGAGATTACTGATATGGTTAAGTTTAGCAGTTATTTGCCTCGCGGTCTGATATAATATCTTCTATAGGTTACTACAATCCATCTTCAAATCAACTCCGCGAACCAGAATTAAGCCTCGGAGTGTGCGGTATGCATGATTGCATAACAAATGTTCTAACCATGTCAGTCGATGTATGTTTAAAGCACCATAGATAGACTTACTATTCTTATCTGAGGCTACAATGCTTAAATTCATGATCACTCAATTAATGGCTCTACCATGAACGAGTAAGGTTTAGAAGACATCTATGTTCAAATAGTTGAAACTTGTACATACCTTTCACGTTCATTAATTATGATTTACAACCATATATCAACACAGAGTGGACCCTTGTGCAGTGTGCCCTTCTCTTGATGAGAACACACATATATTGCTTGCGCCATAGGTGAGGCAAGTCTTTTAAAACAAAGCGAGTTTTCTTTTAAATATTCAGGCAGAGATTTTATCAATTACCAATGTATTATGTAAAGTTGTAAACAAGAAATATTTTCATTCGTAAACAAATCAACAACAACAGAGTAGAATTACAAATACATTGAAAGTAACATAAAATTGGTGCAGATCTTACCATGAAACCCTTTTTAGTTAAATCGATCGCACCAGTGAAAAGATCCGACCATTTTAATGAACCAAATTGTTGATGCATAGCTGCAAGACCACGTACTAGAGAAGGGATACCTACTAAACTTGCAGGTTTATTTTTATCTGGTTTATCTCGTTCTGTAGCACTATTACGAACAGGGCAAGTGAAGTCAAATAAGTGACTTAATTGTTTATTACGATCACGAACTAGTACAGCGCCACATCCTCCTAAACCTATGGTTAAAAGTTAAATGTGGAATACTTACTATTGAATATAACAGAAAAGATACACTTGATGGCAAAGATATCACTAATAAGAATTTATTAATAGTAGTATTACAGAAAATGGATCATTCTAATAGTATAACAATTACGACTTTAATCTTGTCATTATACTGAAAAAAAACGAGGAAATAAGTGAAAGCGATATGAAATATAGCAACTTGAATCGGTATACACTTATATCAGGTCTTAAAACAGATGAAGACTGATGTTTGTCAGCTGATAACAGTTTGATTCACGAACTTTATTTAAGGGCGTATATCAAGCTTGGAACACGATAAATGAAGTTTCTACTCAATGTATAAGTCACAAGATTTTATGCCTTATACGTATAACTTCATGCGGTAAGCCTTAGACTCTACCTTGTGTCAGAGGGTTAATCATACCGATATGACTTCTCAAACCAAGAGGACAGTAACATTTGACTGTGATACCCATTGGTTTGAATAATAACCCACCTACCTGAGTTTCAGTAACCAGGAAGGTATCTCTAGACCAAAGACAACAAACAAACTTTAAAACCTAGTAAAAGAATTTACACTTGGTTTTTAGTGGAGCGATGGTTTAGTGACTGAAGTGCCCAACTCTCTACTATGTTCAACTCCCATATTACCTAGTTTCATTTGAGTAATTAGATAGTACCATCAGTCCTTACACTCAAAGTTGTGGCTAGAAGACGAGTACAAAACTTGCACTTTGTAAATACGTTACACTTATTTTGATTACTACTTAGTAAGTAATTCCTACTAACATGATTCCACTAAGATCGGCACATTATTTTTTATTTTACACAGAAAACATCTTGGGTATAGTTTACATTAAGATATACTTTGTTAGGATCTATAATTTGATAGTTAAATGCAGATTTGAATACCTGGTGTTAAGGTATATGTTTTGTATAAACGCTGGAGATACTAAGCGATTGACTAAACTGAAGTCGGTAGTATAGCGTCGAAGTATACAAATTAGTGGCTGAAGGTTAAGTACATTAATTATTCAGTTGTCGTTAGTTGTGAGGAGCTTTTATTCATTTATGTCACTTACTAGTGATAGTAATATATGTCATACAGCTTTTATGGGATGAAGTAATGGAAAAAAAATTAAACACTTCAAAGGAGATTCTTGTTTTCTGTAAAGTGGTTTAAGCTTACACAGGAAACAGGCAACCAGTTACTGATGTAAAGCATACGTAAAATCTTTAAGAAGAACTAACAGAAAATATTCTCGGGAGAAATAGACCAATATTATACTCAGAATAAAAACTTTATTTATATAGGTAAGATTTCTACGAAACTATTCGAAAGATATAAAATATGCTAAGCATGACATAAAAAGTTGTTTGAAGATTGTTTATAATAAGAATATTATACTTCTGAGATCAATGTCGAATAAGTGTATGATCAATAATTCTACTTCTTATTACTGAGATCTAGTTCTAAGTCATAAACTAATATGAAATAAGATATTGTACACTGTAAATATATTAAGTTTAATACAAGAAAATGGACGGATGCTAGCAAAGATTTGATTCTCGCTTGTATACAAGAATGTATCCAAGAATGAAATCATCGAAAAGGAATATGTTTTTGGCCAACTAAATACACACACTCCCTTGTTTCATGTCTCAATGGACATTTTCTATTTGTTTTTACTCAATAGAGTGATAATATGAACAAAAATACACTGTTCCATAGAAATCCCATAAAATCCTTTTGAAAATCTTAATTAACAATAGTTTGATCTGCTGAAATTGAAGTAGCATAGGCAGAGTATACTGTAATAGATTTCTAGCCACATACTGTTTAGAATCATTGGGTTATTGACTATGTAATAGGTTATGTAAACTAACATGGAATAACTGAATGGCGACTGCTTACGCAGAAAAACAATTACTTAGACAGAGTTCTCTTTAGAAGGACTGACATTATAAAACTTCAAAATTGATCAAGTAAATAGATTATTTTACTTAATGAATTAACGTTTACTCAAAAATAAACATAAATGGGACATATGGATAACAATGCCTGTTTCTAAAATTTACTGGAAATTTTATGGGTTTAGCTAACACTTTATTATATTCTCTTACTGTCTAGTGTTTCGTGAATAATATATTTCACTTGGGTCTTGGCAAATTTGAACGAGGACCGAGAGGGAACTTCGTATATTCCAATACACCAGAACAACAAAAATTCAAGTATTAAAAAGGATTTACATACAAATCTCCTATCTGTTATGACGAGAGTCAGTCAGTCAGCTACAGAGTACGATCAGGCACATATATGTATCGATCCAAGTTACCACACCTCATTAGCACAACAAGATGAACACCAAATTCATGCAAGTAGTTACTTCAATGATAGTGATATATAAAAGAAAGATTGCGTATATGGATATAATAGAGGAAGAAAGAATTAGTTGGTAGAACGAAAGATATAAAGCAATTTTAACATCACGGTTTAAGGAAAGACAGAGAATATATACACCTACGCCATTGTGATCGATTCTGAACCATGTCATACAGTCTCCAACCATTAGTTACGATAGTCACGCGGATCCTGATCCACCAACATGGCTCAGACTAGAAGTTAGTGACTTCAAGCACTGATGACATGTTCTGGTTTAACCGCCCTTAACTTTCCTCCAACCATCCCCAACACTAGTCAGCATTGCGCGTCATGGTAATCGGCGTTCAGGTATACGTAACACGTAGTTCAACCATCTCAGTCTGTGAAGACGAGAGTTAACAAAATCATTCTAAAGGAAAGGAGGAATATGTTAAGTCTTAAAACATGGATAGTCCGTGGTTCTCAATAAAATAATAAAAAGTGTGGAGTTACATATTAAACAACACAACAATAACTTTTGCCAATGTTCAACGCTACGAAATACCAAACATAGAATATCAGAGGGAAGAGTACAATAGGATGACGGAAACGAATAAGTAATAAATAAGATTGAAGTCGTATTTAAAATTCTAGATAATAAAAGAGATGAGACAAACTAAATCAGTTATTCTGATTCTATAAAAGTGATAAAAATATGAGGTAGGAATTACTACTAAATGAAACTTACTTGCAACATCAGGGCGAGTTACAGTTAAGCATAACATAACAGATACCATCGCATCAACAGCGTTCCCTTTGTCTTTTCGCATTATATTTAGGCCTATTTGACCACAGAAGTCATCGTCAACTGCAACAGCACCTTGAGGTACAACCTGTGTTTTACAATTAATTAGTTTAAAGTAGGCATTACCTGAGGCTGTCCAAAAATAATGCTGAAAATTAAAGCTATAGTTATAGCAGTCGATAAGACTATCACAGACAATACAACTATATTTACACCTTCAAGTCGCCACCTTTTATTAGATTCATTTGTATTTTTTAAAATACTGTCAGTATCTTTATTGACTATATACTCATTGTCTTCACCAAAGGGTGCTTGACGGGTCTTGGAAATATCCGACTGAGTCAGTTCAATATCAGGATTCTTTTCAGATTTACTCTCCATCGCCAAAACAAATGGGTGGGAAAATCACAATATGTGAACTTTTCTTTTTACTGTAATGGCTATAAAAAGATAGAGCATTTGTTGTTAACACAGTCTAACGTAAGACTTAAGGCGGTAGCTACTGGGAAATTCAAGAAGAATAAGCTGGAAGGAGAATAATAGTGGTAGATATTATTCATAATGTTGGACTTCAATAACGATCACAGTACAAGAAACCAGTTACTGGTATATATATATATCCCAACTAGATGTTACTTCATTAACAAACATTGTTTAAGTTTGTTCCGGGGAAAATATTTTGAATAAATACAGTTTCGTAAAGCACCGTAACCATATTCCTAACTTGCCTTAGCTGACTTTTATCTATCTCGGAAGGATTGAGATAATAAAAGAGAAAACGAGCTTTTATCAAATCGTAAAAGTACTGCTCAAGTGAGGCAACAGAGAAGTCTAGCCTTACTGATTGAGACCTTAATCTATAAAGCAATAGAGGCCTCGAAAAAATCTGCGTGGCAGAACACAATCGATGAAAAAGGAGTTACAGCCGACCACATTTTATGGGATTTTCGGGCATGTGAATTTTCAACGTAAGATGATGAATTGGTTTAACGTGATTGACTTGTCACAATGGAGCAGATGCATTCACTCCGTCATAAATTAGACTGGGTAACAAAACTGTCTTAAACTTTTAGTTTCGTGAAATCATTTATTCCTCTCGAATAACAATGTCTACGTCTAATATTTTCTATCACTAGTACTGGTACTACTTCTATCACTCTTTACAATATTACCACACTGTGATGCTATGATGAGGTGATTTACACCGATACATATATATACCATATTTGAAGTACTTATGATTTTCATTACTTAGTTAATAAAACTCTAAAAACTGGTAAGCGTGGTGTGATGAAACAATAGTGTAAAACTTCAATGATTCTTAAAATAATGTTTTCTAAAGAATCGTTTACCTAAACTACCGTACAACAATGATATGTTCGACATGAGAAATCAACCCAAATCGGTTTGGGCACCTGGGCAGTATCACAGCCCTCACACATATCGAATGAGATTAGTGTGGCGCATATGTATTTGGTGCCTGATTGTACTAATACCTGTGTTAAAATAAAAATAAATAAGGTAAAAAAGAGATTTGAATATTTTATAGACATGATGAATTCAGTTTCATCAGATGATATTTAGCAAACAGATAGTCTTCATACAAGTAATGCTTTCTAATCGACATGGTGAAATAAGAGTGGAAAAACAGTTTTGATCGTAATAATTAACCGTCACAAATCAAAATGTCCCTTCTAGTAAAGAGAAAAAGGAAGTCCACTCATACATACACTGGGAGCCTGACCAGTATTTTTGGTTAATGCTATCATTCCAAAAATTTCTTATCACCAACTGACATGTCATAATGCAAAAAGGTTAGGGTTCGGTAATAAGAGTTAAAATGGACTTTTGAGTTAGGGTTTACAAAGTGAGGGAAAAGTTTCCAATGTGAATCGACGTGAGCAACGATGCGATATCTTGCCAACTTTCTGTTTAAAAACTTGAGGAACTTAGGGTTGATATTTTGTGTGAGAGTAGGAAAGGGTAAACATTACTAAACTTTACTAAACACTCGTGACCACGTAGTGTATGACACTCAGTACTTCGACACACGATCTGCTTCAGAAGCGAGTATGTCAGCATAATCTAAAATTCACTACACTATGTAACAGATATTCTCATCGATTTTAAACATTTTAGGGACAAATATTGACAATTTTCACCTGGTTGATAACATACATGTTACTTTCCACTGAATTGTGAACTTTTCGCAAAATATCTAAGGTGTTATTTTAGCTCCGATTAGTTAACTTAATGCTGTTAATATATACTTTTGTCAATGGTCTTCACATAAAAAACTTTGTGTAACGTACAACTTGTAAACCCCTCAGTTTGTAATACTCAAATTCCAAACTTTGCTAAACAGAATATATTATATTAATATTCGCTTTAATTCTGCTTTGCTTAACTCGTCCTCTTTAGTTTTTGATCTGAGTAGGTTAAAGACGAATAAATAGACTCTATAATTGTGATCATAAACACTGCTTAAATTAGATTATATTAGAATGGACATAAATTAAAGGGTTCAGGAGCTTTTATCCGTAAGGACTTGCCATTGGCAGACCGTGTAAAAAGATATGAAGCCGAAGAAACTACAACCTAGGTTGGGCGCTGGCGAAAAGGACATAACAATTGTAAATTTTCGGGTTGTAAGGCTTCTACAAAGAATGATGCCGAAGCCACTTTGGGTGAAGCACGAAGCTACTTAAATGGGCTCCTGATCTCTTACACTAAAGCTCGATGCTTTCTCAATAAGCGGTTGTAACTAGATGTACAGATTGACACTGCAAAACCAGACGTGACCGCAGCCACAGAAGCTTGTCTGACACAGACAATTAATAGTATAGAACTTGGTTTCGAAGGTTTTTTCATTATTAAGGGTCGACAGAATACAAAAGAGTAAAGGAGGGGCAGTGGCTCTATTCATTAGGCATGCCATCTCATTTTCAGTTATTGACAGTGTATCTCATGAGAGTAGGAAGTGTGAATTAGTTAGTTGCCTCTTGAAATGTAAGGGACAAGAGCCGCTGATTGGTTTGGTCTATTGCAGTCCAAGCTGTGAGGTAAATGAGGTCCTACTAAGAAATCTCAATACTTGGTCACAAAGTGGTCGATGTCTAATCCTAGGGGACTTTAATGCACCTATGATAGACATAGAAAATTTGTGAACTGAATCGTCAGATAATTCCTTCGAACAGGAACTACTTGATGCGATTATCACATGTGCACTAGTGCAACATGTGAAAGAAGCGACTAGGTACGACCCGGATTCTGAATCATCCTTACTAGATCTTACATTGACTCACTATGTGAATGACGTTGCGAACCTCCATTACATGCCACTCCTAGGTAAATGTGATCACGCAGTTTTAATTAAAACATTTTTGTGTGTTGTTGGAAATGAAGGCGAATGCAGGAGACCTTTGGTCTTCTGTTGATGGATAGAAAATGGGGTGTAATGTGTGTATTTAGGCGGATATTTAGGCGAAAACGTGATTATTCAGCGGATTTTTAGGCGAAAATTCGGCGGACATTTAGGCGAAAAAGCGACAATTCGGCGGATATTTAGGCGAAAAAGCGACAATTCGGGGGATATTTAGGCGAAAAAGCGACAATTCGGCGGCTATTTAGGCGAAAAAGCGACAATTCGGCGGATATTTAGGCGAAAAAGCGACAATTCGGCGGATATTTAGGCGAAAAAGCGACAATTCGGCGGATATTTAGGCGAAAAAGCGACAATTCGGGGGATATTTAGGCGATAAGTGGGTAATTTGTCGACAAAAAGGCGAAAAAGGGGAAATTCCGCATTATTTCCCCCGGACAGGCGAAAAAGGCGACATTCTGGCGCGTTTTCTCCTTTATTTCCCCTTTCGCCACCATAGCATTTACCCCTTTATTTCCCCTTTTTTCCCCATTATTTCCCCTTTTTGGGTTGTCTGGGAAATTATGACTTCCATATAACTGTCAGTCACGAGCAAGAGTTAGCTCAACCCACGCCCAACGTCTGGAAAGCAAACATACCAGATATCATGCACTCAGCTTCGTTAATAGATTGGACAATAGACCTAGAGTCCCTAATTGAAAAGGCTTGGGACGCATTTCGAAATCTATACTTAAAAGTTACCACACCCCACATCCCTTGGACTATACCAAGAGGCCAAGAAACTCTCCACCGTGCTATTCCTCTTGTATGAAATTAACTTCTTCCTCTTCTATCATCATTGGTCTTGCTACATGTTGATGATGTCAAGATATGGAGAACGATACGATGTAAGGGTGATAGCTTAGAACTCTAAAATGAGCTGAAGAAATTATCTGAATGATCTCAAACCTGGCAGTTGCAGATAATTCCTTTCAAGTGTATTGTGATGCATATCGGTCATCAGGGTACAGATGCACACACGATGAATAACACTGAGCTACATGTTGTCCAGACACATAATGACTTAGGATTCACCGTTAGCCAAGACTTAAAGGCTACTGCACACTGCCATGCAATAGCCGCCGAAGGTTTTTGGATATTATGGCCAATACCTAAAGCTTTCAGTCATGTGGACGCTGAAACGTTTTTGACTTTGTATACAGTGTTCGTACGTCCTAAACTTCAGTACTGCATACAAGCGGCCAGCCTCTGCTTAAAAAAGACAGTAAGATTTTGGAAAAGGTTCAGAGAACAGCAAATAAGCTGATTCCTGGAATTGCGAAGCCTCTGTATGATGCTCTACTGGCCAAGCTAGACCTACCCTCGTTGTCATACCGTAGAACAATATATATGACTTGATTACAGTTTTCAAATTGCTTAGTGATAAATTTACACCTGACATGCCCTCATTTTTCTTGTCTTCCAAAACAGAGAATTTCCGAGGACACTCCAAAAGCGTTCAAAAGTCCAGAACAAATTACTTGTCAGCTGACTATCGACTTTCTCATCAAATCATCGACGAGTGAAATTCATTACCTCAGCACGTGGTTGGGGTTCCATCTATCGACTCTTTCAAAAGAAGTTTGGATCAACTGAGGGACCACCATTGCCAGGACTAAACAGGCACTCAAACCTCCTGTCCTTTCCAAGCTTAGAAAGTAAATATTTAGATGATGAAGAAAATAAATGGGGTGGTGCGAAACAAAGAATGCAGGATGTGAAAAATCAATAGAATCGTTTACCAAGTAATGTCTGGTCAAGGTTGGGATAACTTCGGATCCTTATAATTGCTGCTGTATGTAGCAGACGGAAAGTAATGAGTGATCAATACTCAAAGAATGCTCATTCAATCGTTGGTTAAGTTGCCTGGTTGTTCAGCCAGTGCAACTAACTTCACAGTAGCAGGTGGATTTGTAGATACAAAGTTAGGAGCCGAAATCAAGTAGCTTTTCTTTTTTTTGGGTAGATATTGCTGATCTATGAGAAAATTTCAATGCAATATTAGCTACACAAAATGTCATTTTAACTGCAATAATTGTTTTTGTTGGAGTTTGATTTTGTTTCTTTCATGTATCAGAAGTAACAGAAGTCTAAGATCACTATTCTTTTTTACGTGTTCAGAAGAAATCTGCGAGACTCTTCTCCCTTTCTTGTGTGAATATGACTAATAAATAATTTTATATTTCATCAAAACCCATACCTTAATTCTTTTCCACCCACTTATATTGCTCATTCTTCATTGTTTAATTGCTTAAATACTTCCTTTCACGTAATTTTAATGTTTGCGATCATTATTTTAATTCATATTTCCTCAAGTTTGACCAAATTCATACGCTGAACGACCGACTAGAAATCCTGTTATTTCTGTTATTCGACTCGCTACTAGTACACCTGTCTCCTTACTACCAATTTGTACTGTTTGGCTATTATATGTAGCTATGGAGTCTATTTCATTCAGGTCAACGACCGGTGTAATGCCCTGATTACTTGAATATGTGAACATTATATCACTGTTTGCAGCTCTTCTTATTTCTCTTCTTTACACTGTCGTTCATCCCAATCAAAAGGGACAGCCACGTCAGAACTAACAAAAATGGTGATGATTTTTTACGAATCTTCGAGAGATACCTTAAAATCGTGACCATCAATATCCAAAAGTTTTTAACTTTTTGTTTCTTGTCAAAAACTTTCTCTTTTCTACATTTCGCAATGGGGTTCGTATTATAACAGCATTTTCTGAACTGACACATTATTCGATATCATTATTCCTGTTATCAGTGCATCCACCACTAAATTTCTCGTTGGCTACCACCAGAATACCCACTGGTAAAAAAAAACCCGACAAAAATATATAGGGTAACTACTAGTAAAAGAATCATCTGAAAAGTACTACGAAACGGATATTAAGAAATTTTTGTACGTTAGCTTAAATAATTGAAGTTTAAGTCGACCAAGTATGCTTTGGATTCGATAAAATACTCACTGGCATACTTAATTCACAATTACAAAATCAGTGCATATTTTTTGGAATATGCTCTGAATAATACTGTGAACATTACTGTCCAACTACTTACTTTCAAACCCTCACTCATCGCCTTAAAAGTATTAAATTCCACATCTCTTTGCCTACCAGTTAGTTTTTAACATCTTATTTTGTTCGGAAACCCAAACCATATTCTGTGTTATTATACAGTACTGTCTCGATGCACTACTAACTATCTAACAGCTTTAACTGTCTGATGTCCTTACTCAAATAACTTGAAAAATTAGTGTTTGCTAACAGCGTGTGGGACATAGGAGTTAAAAGTAAGACAACTTCAGTCTAACCAATAACTTAAGAAAGCCAGCATCTCAATAGGGGAAAGTGAAGTTACTGAACAGCAAACGTTGATGGTGAGGGTAGTGATTTCAATACACCTATACTTGCAGGACATAACATTTTGATTATCTCCTACTCTTTATAACTGGTGATAACGCAACCATCTGATGAATTACAGATGCTACCTAATTATCTGAATTGCGACTTGCCCAGACCCATGCATACCTGTAGTTTGAATGTACCAAAATAATTTACACAGATTTTTGAGCATTAAGAGAGAGAAAACCTGCACCACAACAGCCTTGGAGTATATCCAGATCTTTCTATATTATGTGGCTGATATTTATACTGTGAAGATGCCACAGGTATTTGGAGTTTGACAACGCTTCAACCAGTAACACCTTCGAATATGAAGCGTACCCACCAAGTGAAATCAAAAGACAGTGAGGAGGTTCGAAGATATATTTGATAGGCCATCAACATATCGAGGACCGTCTGATCTAATCTGGCTAGCGATTGCAGGGGTTGTTGAGCACGGCGTTCCCACTCGTGATCTGGTGCGGATGTATGACCAAGCGCATCCGGCTAGGTGAGTTCA